AATTGCAAATTTCGCAAGGCTATATTATCCGCATTTTACAACATTTCGCAACGAAACTTTGAAATATTACTAATTTTGTGATGCTCTTTCAAGCTGTGATGAAATTTTTGTCTAGATCAAAATTTAGTCTATAATGCAAATGGTCCATTGGTTTCACTTTCTGGACTCGAGTTCTCGCTCCAGTTATATATGGAGGTCAGTGTTGCGCGCAGGTTGTTACAGATCTTGACACAAGTTGTAACAAGGTTGTTGTGAAGCTGATATCAGAATGTGTTCACACTGCTTGTTCCCAGTTGTTGTGACAAGTCTGCAACAAGTTGTAACAAGGTTGTTGTGAAGCTGATATCAGAATGTGTTCACACTGCTTGTTCCCAGTTGTTGTGACAAGTCTGAAACAAGTTGTAACAAGGTTGTTGTGAAGCTGATATCAGAATGTGTTCACACTGCTTGTTCCCAGTTGTTGTGACAAGTCTGGAACAAGTTGTAACAAGGTTGTTGTGAAGCTGATATCAGAATGTGTTCACACTGCTTGTTCCCAGTTGTTGTGACAAGTCTGACACAAGTTGTAACAAGGTTGTTGTGAAGCTGATATCAGAATGTGTTCACACTGCTTGTTCTCAGTTGTTGTAACAAGTCTGACACAAGTTGTAACAAGGTTGTTGTGAAGCTGATATCAGAATGTGTTCGCACTGCTTGTTCCCAGTTGTTGTGACAAACAAGTTGTAACAAGGTTGTTGTGAAGCTGATATCAGAATGTGTTCACACTGCTTGTTCCCAGTTGTTGTGACAAGTCTGAAACAAGTTGTAACAAGGTTGTTGTGAAGTCGATATCAGAATGTGTTCACACTGCTTGTTCCCAGTTGTTGTAACAAGGTTGTTGTGAAGCTGATATCAGAATGTGTTCACACTGCTTGTTCCCAGTTGTTGTAACAAGGTTGTTGTGAAGCTGATATCAGAATGTGTTCACACTGCTTGTTCCCAGTTGTTGTGACAAGTCTGAAACAAACTGTTATTACCTTGTTACAAGCTTGATGATGGTAACAGTATAAATAAGTATAAGTGAATTATAAATAAATTTCTTTGGGCAAGGAGTTTGCAGCGGAAACTCGGAAACAAGGGGGTGCAACTGCTGAATCTTTGCCCATTCATTATGCAACAAAGCGGTAACAATAATTTTACATTCATGAAAACCTTGCTGGTCTATTATTCAAAGGAAATTGCATGAAATTTAAGCCACAAATGTTTTAAGAACTGAGATTTGTAACGACAAGAGGGTCAGTATATGTGGGCAACCTAAATTCACACCCCAATATTTCGTGTCTGCCACTGTACCCCAGTAGGTAGATTTGCAGGTAGGCTGCCTGCATGCAGGCTTGGTATACATTGTTGGTGTCGCGCCTTACGGGTAGACTGCCTACCAGACAGGCTAAATATAACATAGGCACCATTGTATGACATTTCCAACAATTTTAAGTTCAAAAACTTGCTCTCCGAAATTTCTTTGGGAAAAGAGTTGCATATAAATGGCAGTTTTATTTTATGATATACATGTATGCTTTTATTTCAAATACCACTATTCACTATATACATTTATTGTGTGTGTGTGTGTGTGTGTGTGTGTGTGTGTTTGTTTTTTTGTTTGTTTGTTTAATCCATATTTATTCAGGCTAGGTACATCATCAATAAATATTGCTATCAATGTAGACCCTGAGAACGTGTTTGAGCTATTTTATAAACTAAATTACATTTTGTTCACTATATAATATAACCTTTTCATTATGTGTAAGTTAAGTTAGTGTGTAAGTCTGAATTATTGTTTTAAAACGAAGTATATACGACAATTGTTTTACAGTCTCAGAAGCTCAATGTCCAATGAAGACAAGTAGATTTTTGACATCTGGGGTCGTTTGTTCTAAAGCTAGTGAACCTAAGCTAGCAAACACTCCGCGTGACTCCATATACTGTATTATTGTCAACTAAAACGCTGAGTTAAGCATGTTGATAGATCATAGCTGGATCCCTACCCTCACTCTTTCAAAACATGTAATTGTTGAATCTTAAAAATACCCGCCAAAAAAACAACCTCATACTTAGAACCATATTTCACTTGGTCTGATGGCGCGAAATGGGCCTGGAACTAGCTAACCTTACATTACCAATCATGGTATATTTAAATCTCATTGGTACTTTCCCAGTACTGAAATACACAACCGAAACTGGGCATTAAAAGATGAACATGTTAAGTATTTCGAACGGTCTGTTGCTCTGTAAGGAATGGCGATAATAAGAAAAGGGTCTTCAATCGAAATGTCAAAGTTCTACTTGTATTTTTCAGGTACAGTAGTTAATATTTTTCATCATGACAGCACAGGGGGGGGGGGGGGGG